CAGATGGAATTGCTGAATCATAGGGTACGTGTGTGTTTAGCTTTATAAGAAACATCCCAGCAGTTTTCCAAAGTGGTTATACCATTCTACTCTCCAACCAACAAAGTGTGAGAGCTACACATCGTCTCTGACATTTGGCGTTGAAATAGTATCTCGTGATTTTCTCAAATAACAAATAATGTTGACCATCTTTTTGAGTAGTTGCTGGCCATTTGTATGTCTCCTTGTGGCAGGTGTCTGTTAAAGCCTTTTGTCTTTTTTACGGAGTTATTTATCCTTTTATTGTTGATGGGTATGAATGCTTTTTATGTTCTGGATACAATTCCTTTGTCAGATATATGCATTACAACTATTTCTGCCAGTGTGTAACTTGCCATTTCATTTTCTTAATGGTGTATTTTAATGAGGAAGAAGTTTTCATTTTGATCAAAGTCCAATATGTCTTTTTTTCTCTTTTATGTTTAATTTTTGCGTGTGTTATTACTATTTTTGTCTACTCCCAAAGTCAGAAAGATATTTTCATATGTTTTCTCCCGGATATTTTATAGTTCGAGCCTTTACATTTAGGTCTATAATTCATATCTAATTAATTTTTCATGAGATTAAGGTTCATATCTTCCATATATTTATTCAGTTGTTCCAGGACAGTTTGCCGAAAAGATTTTCTATTTCCCATCGAATTGATAAGGCACTTGTATTGAAAATCAGTTAAGCTTCTATGTGCAAGTCTATTTCTGAGCTCTATACTTTCTATTGATCAACTTATCTATTCTTTTTTTTTTAAGGTTTTATTTATTTATTTTTGAGACAGAGAGACAGAGCATGCACATGAGCAGGGGGGAGGGGCTGAGGGAGAGAGACAAGCAGACTCCCCGCTGAGCAGGGAGCCCAATTCGGGGCTCAATCCCAGGACTCTGGGATCATGACTGAGCAGAAGGCAGACACTGAACCAACTGAGCCATCCAGGTGCCCCAATTTATCTATTCTGATGTCAGTGCTAAAATGGCCCCATTATCATAGCTCTATAGTAAATTTGAAATCAGCTGCTCTGACTCTTCCATATTTGCTCTACTTTTTCAATGTTGGTTTGACTATTCTGAATTCTTCATATTTCCACATAAATTTTAGAATCAGCTTGTTATTTTTCTTTTAAATCCCACTGAGATTTTGATTAATGTTATATACACCACATTGGGGGAATTTGCTATCTTCTCTCTACTAAATTTGCTAATACATGAATGTGCCTCTCCATTTATTTAGATCTCCTTTAATAGCTCTGAGGAATGTTTTATAATTTCCATTGCAAAGGCCTTGAACATTCTTTATTAATTTTATCTCTAAGCATTTTATGTTTATTGTTATCATAAATGGGGCTGTTGTTTTTAAAATTTATTTTCTAATTGTTTGATACTAGCCTATAGAAATATAATTGTCTTTTATAATCTGACCTTGAATAATTCACCCTACTAGTTCCTGTAATTGTGTTGGAGTATCTATATAATGTTGTCTGCAAAGAAAGGCCTTTTTTCTTCCTTTCCAAACTGGGTGTCTTTTTGTTTGTTTGTTCTCTTGCCTTATGCACTGGCTAGAACCTCCAGTACTCTGATAAATAAAAATGGTGAAAGTGGATATTCCTGTTTTGTCCTTATCAAAGTGGAAAAATGTTCACAATTTCACCATTAAATATGATATTAACTGTAGACTCTGTAAATTTCCTTTATCAGGTTGAGGTAGTATTCTGTTAATTGTCTGCTAAGAGTTTTTATCATAAGTGGATGTTGAATTTTGTCATATGTCTATCTGCATTACTTGAGATAATCAGATTATTTATGCCTTTTGTTCTGATAATATGGTGAATTGTATGATTCATCTTTGATTGCCTAACCTACCTTGATTTCTTGGGATGTGTCCTACTTTCTCATAGTAGTAAATCAATGTGTTAATATTTTCTTGAGGAAATTTCAATATACATTCTAGGGAGACATTTATCTGTAAATTTCTTTTCTGTAATATTTTTGCCAGCTTTTGGTACCAGGGTTGAGCTAACTTCATAAAATAAGTTGGATAGGGTCTATTTCTATTCTATTTTCCAGAGTAATTTGTGTAGAATTGGCACTATTTCTTATATATTTGATAGAATACACCAGCATAGAACTATCTGGCATAGAGTTTTCTTAGTAGGGAAGTTTGTTGATAATAAATGTAATTCCTCTGAAAGAAATAGAGCTATTTAGATATTCAATTTCTTCCTTATTTGTACTTTTAGGCAATATCTTTTTCTTAGTGATTGCTCTAACAGTTATAATATTCAACCTTATCATAGTTTACTTAGAGTTAATATTGTACTATTTCATATATAAAATATAAGAAACTTACAACAATACAATAATATAGTTCCACTTATCACATCCTATCCTATGCACTATTGTTATATATTTTTACATCTACCATACATTATAAATACCACAATGTTATAATATTTGTTTTAAGCAATCATTTATCTTTAAATAATTTAAGAGAAAGAAATATATATTGTCTTTCACATTTACCAAAGTATAGCCTTTCTGGTATACCTAATTGCCTCCTATAGATCTGCAATTCCATATAGTATTATTGCCCTCTGGTCTAAAGAATAAAACAAATTATCTCAATTTTTATTTATCTGGAAATATCTTCACTTGGCCTTCATTATTAAAGAATATTTTGTGCATGTAAGAATTCAAGGTGGACATATTTTTTTTCTCTCTTTCAGAGTTTTAAAGATATTATTCCAGGGTCTTTGGTTCCTGTAGTTTCTGATCAGAAGTGATATTTTTCTCTAGATACTTCAAAATTTTCTATTTGTCTTTGTTTTTCAGCCATTTGACTGTGATGAGCCTAGGTATAGTTTTTTTCAGATTGATCCTGCTTGGATTTGCTGAGTTTCTTAAACCTAAAAATAGACATTTTTGTTACATTTGGGAAATTTGGAGCCATTATTTTTTATCTATTTTTTTTCATCCAAGTACTTTATCTTTTCTTGTTCTGGAATTCTAATTACATATTTATTTATCCCCTTGATATCATCTTATACATCACTGAGCATTTGTGTTATTTCAGACTGAAAATTTGCTATTGCTCTATCTTCAAGTTCACTGATCCTTTCCTCTGCCATCTTCAATCTGCCATTAAGCCCATGCAATGCTCTCAGGGCATTTTTACAAATTTTAGATTTACTTGTCAGTTACAGTATTTTCATCTGGTTCTCTTTTACAGTTTCCACTTCTCCACTAACATTACACATCTATTCAATCATTATGACCATATTCTTTGTTTAGCCCTTGAACATATTTACAAAAGCTACTTTAAAATCCTTTTCTGCTAATTCCAACATCTGGTCACTTTAGGGTGGCTGCTTTACATTGACTGCTTTTTGTCTTGACTATGGGTCTCATTTTTCCTTTTTTAGTCATTTGTAGTAGCTTTTGAATGTAGGAAGGCACTATGGGTAATAGGTTTTCTGGATTCTGTTAACTTCCTCTTCTGAATGTTAGTTTTAGCTCTGTTAGTTTGTTAACAGGACTGGATTAATCTTCAAATTCTCTTTTCTTTTGAGACAGCACCTAAAATCTCAGCTCAGTTCTTTCTAGAGCCATCTAGCTATTGTTAGCCCATGGTTTCCTTGGAGTCTCTTCCATACCTGACAATTAAAGGGACATATAATGATATGAGCAGAGTTTATATGCAGATCTGGTGACTTACATCTCCACAGCTTCCTCATTTCTAGGCTTTTCCCCATAAAAATATCCAGCCATGCAAGCAGTCCTCTGACTTCTAAAGACAATAAAATTGTGGCTTCCCATTAGATTCTAGATGTCTATCACAGTGTGACCTTAGGAGTGTCATCAAACAAAGAAAAAGAAAAAAGCAGAAACAAAGATCTCATCCACCTTTTTTTAAAGGAGAAAGTTCCCTCTCATTTCTGCATATTTTTGGTTACTCTCTAAAGCTTTTAAATAGGATTTCCAAAAAATAGCTTGTCCAAGGTTATAATATATAATTATATATTAGAGGACTAGTATGATATAAGTTGTTCTGCTATTACTGGAACTCAAACTTATAATTTTTATTTAAAAAGTGTAATGTGGAACTTTTTAAAAAAAGATTTTATTTACTTATTTGAGAGAGAGAGAGAGAGTGCACACGAGTGGAGGGAGGGGTAGAGAGAGAGGGACAAGCAGACTCCATGCTGAGCAGGGAGCTCAATCCCAGGACCCTGGGATCATGATCTAAGCCGAAGGCAGATGCTTAACCAATTGAGCCCCCCAGGTGCCCCAATGAGGAGCTTTTGATGTTAGTTGTACAGTAGGTAACAATCTCTCTTCCTCATTTTCATGAAAGTCTGATCCTAACTGGGAAGAGGAAGTGACAGAAGTGACAGAGTTCAATTCCTAGAGCATAGCTATTGTCTGTTAAGGTAGGGAATATGGAAAGAGGGTTGCTTTTAAAGTCTGTTGATGAGGTAAAAGTGGAGCACAGTCAAAATTACCTTTGAAAATCCCTAAATTACCCATTAAGTATTTATGGTTTTATGTATACAGTCCTTTAGACTATTGTATCCTTTCCTTTAACTCTTTTTGGTCAATGTTTCTTTACAGGTTTTATTTTCTCAATTTATTTCTGCAGGACATCAAAAAGCGCAATTACCTTCTCATCTAAACAAAGTATTTGTTTTTCAATGATTGATTCTTAAAAAATAGGAATTTTCCATCTTTTTCATGAACATGCTTTGATGGTTCAGATTCAGTTGCATCTAATGCCTGAATATATCATCACTAGGTCTGATGGTAGCAAGAAGCCACATTATTTAATTCTCTTTCTCTCTCTTTCATAAGCACCTACCCATCTGCATATCTATGGACAGAGTTGAAGTCACACAACTAAAATGTATGTGTAATGCTATTCTATTGTATACAGAAACTCCTACTTGATTTAAGATGGTTCCCTTTTTGTTCCTACAGTGGGGCCCTTTTGAATGTAAAATGCCTGACTTTTGATAAACTGCAAGAGATGTATTTCATTAAGACAAAGAAATTCTTACTCATTGGAGACAGCGAAATACATGTGAAGCTTGGAGGAAAGAACATAACTTCCAAGAAATTGAACATAGTCAAGATAGGTAAGAAGTTGTATATAGGGGGATGATTGCTATTTGGGGATATATGAAGACACTGATTCTCTCTGGACTTTATGTTAAAAGTAGACAAATCATGAAAGTTATATTCAATAAAGAATAGCAAATCCCCTAATGGAAGGAATTTTTTAAAGAAATGAAAGTTGTGAAGCATATGCCACTAATTCTTACTACAAGAGAATTCTGAGGGTCTTCAAACTCAGCTATGAAGGATAGTGACTGCAGAAAGAGTTCATCTGTGTGAAGTTTCACTGGATCTGGGCCTCTGCCATCCACCAATGTATGTCCTTTCCTTCCTCATCTTACCTTCTTTTGAATTCCTTATAGTCTTCTTCCCACATACCCACCATATTCTGAGTGTGTTTTGTTAAATTATCAAGTTATTTTTAAAAGTAAATATGACTTCTGTATTAGAATTCTCCAGAGGAAACAGAACCAATAGGAGATATAGATAGATAGATAGACAGATGATAGAGAGATGATAGATAGATAGATGATAGATAGATGGATAGATAATATGTAGATAGAGAAATAGATATGAAAGAGATTTATTTTAAGGAATTGCTCATATGATTGTTGGGGCTGGCAAGTCTGAAATCTATAGGGAAAGCCAGAATGCTAGGAACTCAGGTAAGATTGGATATTTCAGTCTTGAGTCCAAATCCCATAGGGTAAGGTCATGGTCTGGAACCTCAAGCAGGGTCTCTATATTGCAATCTTGAAGCAAAATTGCTTCTTTTCGGGAGATCTCAGTCTTTGTTTTATTTTTTTAAGTTTATTTATTTATTTATTTAAGTAATCTCTACACATAACATGGGTCTTGAACTCATGACCCAAGATCAAGAGTGGCATGCTCTTCTGAGTGAGCCAGCAAGGCACCTCAGTCTTTGCTTTTAAAGCCTTCATCTGATTGCATGAGGAGCACCACATTATGGAGGGTAATCTGTTTTATTCAAAGTGTACTGAGTTAAATGTTAGTCAAGTCTTAAAAAAAAAATGATACTTTTGGACTAGTATTTGACCAAACAAGTGGGCACCACAGCCTAGCCAAGCTGACACATGAAATTACTATCACATCTTCCTAAGAGACTTATTACTGAGAAGTGAGGCATAGCCAATCTAATGTGGCTTAGGATATTCATATTACAATTTGCCAAAAAAGATATAATTATATTTCAAATAAAATTATAATCTGAATCGGTAAACTCAACTACATGTTTCCTTTGGCTCTATATAATATCCATATACATAATAATATGAATTAGTAAATCCATTCAATTACCTGGTTATAAGTCTATATTAATTACAAATTCACCATTTGGTTACCAGGCAAGTAAATCAAAGTAATCAGAAAGATTGGGAATATAGACACAAGAAGTTTTTTTCCCATTACTTACAGATTATGACCCTGGGGTGAATAAAGTTCTTTTCAAAACCTCAGAATGTCTAAGCCAATTACAATGCATCAGTGCAATAGAATAATAACTACCCGCATTTATTCTACCTATGGGTATTTATAGATGAAACAATATACACAGGGGGAAATTGGCCAAAGTAATTGAAGAGATGCATTCTTTTGCTGGTTTTAAATACTATGACTCACTCTCTCTCCTTATTCTCGACCCCTTCTTCAGCACTCGAAAAGAAAATCAAAGGTAAGAGAGCAATACTCATTAGAGACAAGAAGATGAGAAACTTTGAGTCTATCTTAGCTTTGCGTCACTAAATTGGTAAAAGCAAAAGTTCTACCTGTGAATAATTATCCTGTAAAAAGGCAGAGATAGTGAAAAAGAGACTAGGCAGAGGGTTGTGCATGTTGTCCACATAGCAACATAGGCCACAACCTATGTGAGTACTATCTAAGAAAGTGGTAACAACAACAAGGTAATTCTGAGTATGGGACACAAGCAAGCTGGGTTTTGTCATTTGTAGACATAGGCTGTTATGGATGGATGGTTAGTGCACTGCACAAGAGCATGATATCTAAAGTTTACCACTGGAATTGGAAATATTTATTCACTTTTCCGAGAAAAGGTACAGAGTGCAGAGATTCTCAGTCTTCTGACAGATCCTGGTATTTTAGAAAGTGAGCATGTGAATACTCAGGACTCCAGGTGGCACCCTGTCCATCTGAATTCCCAAATCATACCCAGTGCTCTCAGAGGCCCATTTTCCATACCCCAGCAGAAACAAACCTAACAAGCCACATCTGAGGGTCTAAAGGAGAAAAGCAGTTGTGCTCACACCTGGTAGCATGGGCCCCTGTGAACTTGGAGTTATGAGCCTCGTGGGGCTTTGGAAAGCACCCGTAAGCAAGCAGGATGAGAGTTAGCGGAGGCATGTCGCTCAGTAGTACCTTCTTCTGGTTCTTAAGGTGATATTTCATTGGTAGAACTGTCATTTAATTGAATTTAAACTGGAAGCCCCTGATTGAGCCCTAGACCAGAGTTCCCCTGCAACCACCTGGCCCTCACTTCTCCTTCTTTAGGTGTGGTCCCTCTGATAAGGCTAGAGGGGCAGCTTCCTCCCTTCCCATTTGCCTTGGTGGGATAAATCTATATTATTGTTCAGATTGTTTCCAGAATAAATTAACTTATAAAAATTTTGCTTGAGGAATGAGCAACTTTTTCTAATGTGCTCAAAGACACCCTTTGGGCCAGAGACAGACCTGTTTGGAGGATACCTGGACAAGCCAGTGTGAGATAATGGAGCACAGAAACAAAAGCTAAAATAAAGAAGAGCAAGCCTCAGAATCAGACAGAATTGGATTTAAATACTATCAAACCATTTTATAGGAGCCTGAACTTAATTAACCTCTCTGAGACTCAGTTTCCTCATCAGTATAGCAGTAATTAGGGATTGTTGGTGGAAGCTTGTGTAAGTAAAGCACTTGGTGCTTAATAGGTATATAATCAATATCAGTCTGTTCTTCCCTTAATTCTTCCATGATTGGGAGTCCCTTGGGAGATGGGAATGAGGCAAGGAATTCAGTGTCAGAGGTTTCATTGAGAACGTGAATCTTAATTATTCCCTTGAATGAAAAGTAGGAACTGGCTTGGCAGGTATAAAGGGTTGACAGGATTCTCTGTTGGTTTGTTTCTTTATACCCACCCGCCTTTCCCCTTGTTTCCCCAGAGCACCTTCCCTTTCTATAGTGCATCTAAGAGTAAAAAAGAATAAACTCCCTCTTTTATAAGACATCAAAGGGCAAAGGAGACACTTCCTCTTTTTCAGGATCTCTGGGGCAATGCAAGGAAACCTTAGGTGGTTACCACTATAAGCAAGTGACTACAATAAGTGAGCCAAATTCACCACGTGAGTTCACTTTACTGGGTCAGCAAGTCGGCCTTAAAGCCCAAGTCAGATAGCTTAGAATCAGTCTACAGAGGAAGAGTTTGATGAACACGTACTCTTCCATTAACAATGGGGTTAGCTTAGATTTTAGCCTATATGCTGCCCATCTCTGTCTGAGACCAGCTATGCAAAAAAGTGGCTGTCCTATCTTTAGACAGCTAACTACCACCCCAGGCTTTGGTGATAGAGCAGCTAAGAACCCAAGACAGGAAAGTCCCTGGAAAATGGTGGGGAGGCCACATGACACACATGCTTTTCGAGGAATTTAGTATCTTTATCTGGGTTGGTTCTGCCTAGAATAAAACCTATCTCCCTCCAATAGCATTTCATACATGGTGCGTGTGATCCTAAGAGGAATTTTGCATGGCAGGCAGACAGAAGAGACCGGAGAAGAATTTAGAGCTAATACAAACTAGACTGAAGTCACACTGGAAGTTATGAGCTTAGGGCCAGGATGCAGACCCTCAACTTCTACATAGCTGAGGTGAGGTACAAGGCTCCCAGCTTACAATCTGATTTTATTGGAATAATGAGGACTCCAAGTTTAAATACTCCTGTTTGGGGGCTAGTTAGTAGCAAGTTCTCTAGTATTCAAAAGGCAAAGAGAATATGTTTTGGTGTAGAATTAGCACTAGCTGCTATAACAAATAAGCCCTAAAACATATGATATCTCAAACACCAGAATTTTATTTCTTGCTCACATAAGAGCCAAAATGGGTATTTCTAATCTGTGGGTGATGCTCCTCCAAGCAATATTCAGAGTTCCTCCATCCTGTGGTCCCACTGTCTTCAGCATATGACTCCAAGTGGTGGAAAGGCAATAAGCAAAGGGCCATACATGTAAGGTTTCTGGGCCAGGATGGGAGGTGGTGCACATCACTTCTCCCCACATTGTGCTCAAGACCGCACCCAACTGCTGGGGAGGCTGAAAAGTGTAGTCAGGCTGTGAACCAGGAAGAAGAAGAAATGGTTTTCTGAACTGTTGCTCAGTTACTGACCCAGAAAAAGAATGTGATGTTCAGAATAGATGAACTTTAAAAAGTATAATTATTTTCTTGACTGCCCTATAGACTGACCTCCTTTTTTCCTTTCCAGTTAAACCTGAGGCTCCTTTTGACATAAGAGTCATCTATCGCGAGGGAGCAAATGACTTTCTGGTGACATTTAACACATCTCACTCACAAAAGAAGTATGTGAAAGAATTAATGCATGAGGTAGCCTATCGCCAGGAAAAAAATGAAAATGACTGGATGGTATGTAGATTAACTACATTTATCTATTATGACATTCATAAAGATGTATATATAAATATACTTAATAAGTAAATTTACATAAAATACACAAAATTATAAAATACATAAAACTATAAAATAAAAACTTAATGTTATAAATTTTATGGTCCCAGAGGTACATTCACCTGGGGAGGGTCCCTAGCAATTTTGTGTTCAAAATATACTTTTTCCTGAAAGGAGCTCCCCAAAGTATAAAAGCTTCAGGTTTCACAAAACCTAGATCTTCTCTGGGCCATCCCATTCTAGCTCTAATTTTTTTTTCTTGCTCTATTTTTTGTTTTTATAATGTTTCTAAATTATGCAGTTGATTAGCAATATAGATTAAGACCAAATCAATCCTCTTTATTTGGGGGGGGTCTCAAAAAGTATACAACTCTCACTGGCAAATCAGGCGAAAACCATCACCAACTCATAGCCACAGTTTAGTTCACAGGAGTTATGGAAGCAGCCTGAAGGAAGGAGGGCAGTGGAATATTTTTCTTCATTTTTTTTTTAAGCCTGAGTTCTTCATCCTCAAAGTAAAAAACTTCATTTGTATCATAATCTGGAGGATTATTTAGACTCCATGAGTCACTGTCGTTGGAATGGTCTGCTGTCCCTGAAATCTGTCTTGGGGAAAAGATGGGAGAAAAGTAGAGAGTCCCAGATTTTCAGGTTCCTCTGAACCTACTGGCTTAACTTCTGTCCTTTTCGTATCACATGAGCAAAAACCAGATGATGGCTTCTCTTTCTCAAGGTGAAAAGAGTATCTACTTATCCATACTGTTCCCTTTTCTCAGGCAAAGATTAGACTTCTTTGTCTGCAGCATGCTGCTGTACAGTACTTATATTAAGTGTAATGTCTGCCCTAAACAGCCTTCTCCCTCCTTCTACGCACCCACTGCACAAACTAGACTATGTTGATCCTGCCCTTTTGAGTCTTCATCTGAAAATTACACCAGTGGAAAAACACCTACAGTGGAGAAAGGAAGGATGTTGAATAAATGATATTAGGACAGTCAGTTCGCTTCTTGTGGAAAAAATTAAGTTAATGCCTAACTTGCTCCATATTAAGAAATAAAATAAAAAGATGATTTAAGGAAATTATGTAAAAGTGAAACTCTAAACAAGGCAGAAAAAATATAGGTAAATGTTTATATAATCTTGAGATGAAGAAGAATATTCTAAGCATAAAAGCAGTAAAAAAAAAAAGCAAAAGATGGATACATGTGACTACATAAAAATAAAGGCTTATAAATGTCAGCACACACAATAATCAAAGTCATAAGGCTAATTAGAAATTAGGATTAAATTGTCACACATACAACTGACAGATGATTAATATCCAGCATATTTAAAGAGGTCTTATAAATCATTAAGAAAAGGACAAATGTAACAACAGAAAAATTAGCAAGAAACTTGGAAATGTCTCATAAATTAGAAATACATAAATTCAATAAATATATGAAAACTAATTGAATAAGTATAAATATAACATAATAAAAAGTATAAATGTAAATAGCAATGGAATATTAACTTTTTACCGATCAAATTGAAAGATGCTTTTTTTTTCTTAAGGGTGATACACATTTTTGAAGATACTGTTGTCTCTGTATTGCTATTTGCAATGTAGGATGGTATCTTTCTAGAGAGAAATTATTCCTGCTCACTAACCTTACCATTCCCTTTTATTTCCATTTGGAATGTGAAAGGGGAGAAGAAGAAAAAGAAAAAAAAAAAAAGAAATTGAATGTGGAAATGAAGGTGGGAGCCTGGGAGTGATTTATATCCTCCTGGAGTGGGAGAGCCCAGCTCACCTGAACAAAGACCCATGGTACTGTTGCCCTCCTTGACCACTGGTAGCATCATTTATGAGCTTACACATGGTCCTCCCCGTGTCATAGCTCCTTTTCCTAGTGAGAGTACCCATGTGACTAAAGGCACTCAACTTGAAATGATTCAGGGGATCTGGGCAGCACTTCTTTTTCAATCCTAAAAATGTAATGGCATGTTTTGCTCTTTAGCGTGTGAACTTATCCAGTACAAAGCTGACCCTCCTACAGAGAAAGCTACAACCTGATGCAATGTATGAGATTAAAGTCCGGTCCATCCCTAATGCCAACTATTTTCAAGGCTTCTGGAGTGAATGGAGTCCAACTTTCCACTTCAGAACTCCAGAGATCACAGGTGGGAAGTGACCGAAGAGTCTTTGTGCCCTGCATAGTGCTTTGCCTGTCAAAGTGTGTGAGCAAGAGTAAGAGCCAGAGAGGGGAAATGAACCCACAAGTTAGGACTCCCGGAGGGCATTCTTTCACTGTCTTTAGAGAATGACCTGCCATCTTTGCCCCTTTGGGGAAGAACAAGGAAGTGGTGGGAGCGGGGCCCTTAGTCGTTGATTAAATGACTCTACTAGTACCATCAATGACTCTATTGACCTAGGTGCCCGTGGGAATTGCTACTAATTCTGAACAAAATGCCCACCTACTACCTCCACTGAATCAACTTAGATTGGAATCCCAATGGCTGGTCTCTGTAAAGGCCCTCTAGGGAACACCTTTGGTGATGGAAGATGGGCAAGCAAGTGCTGCTCTTCCATGTCTCCTTTTTCAGAATAACAAAGATATCCATGTGGTCTAGGAAGAGAGAATTGCCAGAAAAAACAAAGAACATGGCTCAGGCAGGCCCCTGAGGAACCAAAACACTGCACACATACCTTCTCTTTGAGGTATGAGGGGAACCGTTCTGCCATCCCAGCCTCCCATTCTCAGACGGGAAATTGCCGAGTCTGCAATGTAGAGCATCCACCTCATCATTCTCCTATTGAGCTTCCTTCTCTTGGTGGTGGGAGTTAGGGAGAGATTGCTGCCAGCCATAAATGCCAGATGAGGTCTTATGACAGATGTTCTAGACCTGGTCACCCAATTCAGTGCCACTTACTGAAGCCAAAATTCCTAGTGCATAAAGCTAGTGTATCATCCTATTCACTGGAGAGCGACTTTGAAGAAATAATAAATGGTCCTAAGTTACTAAATAAATTCAAAGTACCCTGAAAGCCTCCCCCACTGCATGGTTAATGATTGCTAACCAAGATCTATCCTTACATTCCAGGGAGGATGGATCCTGTTTTACTAACTATTAGCATTCTGAGTTTCTTCTCTGTGGCTCTGATGGTCATCTTGGCCTGTGCGTTATGGAAAAAAAGGTGAACTTTAACTAGTCAAGAGGATGGTTACATGGAGCCCCAGACAGTTGGAGCTGAAACCCTATTTACTGATGAGAAAACTACAAAGGGGAATAAGACATTTCAGGGATTACAGTGCCCACATTCCTCCCTAGCCTGGGGAACTGGTGAATTTCAACAGTTAATTTCATAAAGCGTTGAAAACATGTAAATTAGACATAGGGCAAACCCTCCTCCCCAACTTTTTCTCCTAAAGAAATAGGAACTATGTCTCCAAAATGTCTGGGCGGCTGGGGGTACCCAGGGAAAATGAAGAATGTATTTGAAGGCTTGAATTTCAACACATGACTTCATGGGACTTTTACATTCTACCCCATGACAGAGCCATGTTTGCATCATTATAAAAATGATCCTTTTAACACATACCTTCAAGTTATTAATAGTCTAGGAAGACTCCCACAGCACAGACTCCAACTTGAAAAGAATATCCTAAAGCAATTTCCCTGGGTGACTTAGATAATATTCTTCATCTCCACCAGAATAAGAGCAGAGGAGTTGCTGCCAGTAGAGAGGAGGAATAAGATGACAACACCTATATTAGGAGTAGATGAACAGGGTGAATGTTGGTTCCATAGCTACACCATTGCCAAACCCTCACTGTTCCTCTTCCCCAGGGCTCTCTCCCAGAGGTGTTCACGGAGATCACTGACAATAACCCCTCTGTGAATTGATAGGACACTGGGGCCCAGGGAAAGCAAGTCACTTGTCCAAGCTCACCCACCTATAGTTGTGGCAGAGCCAAGACTACAAACCTGCTCTTCTGATTTCTGGCTCAGAATGAGTGGAAAGACCTACTGTGCATGCTCCCTCACCATTCATTTCCTCTCTGTCAATGTCCTCTTATTTCAGAATTAAACCTATTGTGTGGCCCAGCCTCCCCGATCATAAGAAGACTCTGGAACAGCTGTGCAAGAAACCCAAAAAGGTGAGTGCTTCTGGTGCTTCTACCACAATGTTGGAGGCATCCCAGTAGCCAAGAATGATATTGCAGGATAGGGAAGAGTTCAACCATAAGTTTTGGTCTTTTGTGCACCCCATGACTAGGGTCCCTCATGAGATCCGGGCTGTACCTCCCTAGAGGTAGGAAACTAAAATGAGATACAAGTCTCAGAAGTCTCCTGGGCTTCCCCAGGGCAGGAGGGCATAGCCAGTCACTTCAGACTCTGATGTGTCAGAGTGTCTCCAGAGGCAGAGTCAACTAGAACATGTGGGTAATTTTCTGACATTCTCTGGTAGACCCCTGTCAGAAAGTTCTTTACATCCTCCCATGAACTGAACCTTTGCTCGTGTGTCCCTTTGGAGCACTCTAAATGCCTTTTCTCTTTTCTGGTGCAGAATTTGAATGTGAGTTTCAATCCTGAAAGCTTCCTGGACTGCCAGATTCATAAGGTGGATGGCATTCAAGCTAGAGATGAAGCAGAAAGCTTTCTGCAAGACACTTCTCCTTCACAACTAGACGAGTCTGAGAAGCAGAGGCTTGGAGGGGGTATGCAGGGCCCCATCTGGCCATCGGAGCATGCAGCCATCACCCCAAAAGCTTTCAGAGGAGATTCACCCTTTGGATGCCTGGCTGGGAGCATCAGTATGTGTGAGGCCCTTGTGCAACCCTCTTCCAGGTCCCCAGACTGCAGGGAAGGCTGCAAGAATGGGCCTCATGTGTACCAGGGCCTGCTGCTTGGCCCTGGAACTACAAATAGCACCGTGCCCACTCCATCTACTTTCCAGTCAGGAATCCTGACACTGAACCCAACTGCCCAGGGACAGCCCATGCTCACTTCCTTGGGATCAAGTCAGGAAGAAGCATATGTCACTATGTCCAGCTTCTACCAAAACCAGTGAATTGTCAGAAACACAGGACTGGAACCATGATGACCCACAAAGATGACTAAGCTCCTACTTACTTCCCCTTGCAGCACAAAGAAGAAAAAATTAATGCCAGCCCTCCATATAATCTACAGGATTCAGAAACATAGCTTGGACCACTCCTCCCCACTCCAGGGCATTTGGCTTGAGGCAGGAGCACTCTGCTTCAGGCAACCCAAATTAGTCCATTATTTCAGAAAGAAAAAGAAGCAGGAAAGAATTAAAGAAAGGATAGGGAAGAGGAGGGAAGGGGATGGAAGGTAGGAGGAGGGCAAGGGAAGACAGAGGGAAAGGAGAACAGCGCTGATAGCTACCATTACTAGGACTCACTGTGTATCCTGTGCTCTACACAGCTTGTCTCCCTGCATCTTCATGGTAATCCTGGGCACTGGGGCAATTGTTATTATTATTATTATTATTCTCTTTTCTAATAGATGATGAAACTGAGGCTTGGGGGCGTTAAGTAACCTGTCCACTTTGTCCCCACTCAGCGTGGAGTTTGATGGCTGTAGTCTAACTGTGGTTTCCCCCGCCAAGCCATATGCCTTCCCCTTGACTAGAGGCTATCCCATTCACAAGTGCCAAACCTCACTAATAACGAACGGGTGACTATAAAATTTATTGTCCAAATTGGGTCACTTTTGAAAGTGAAAGGGGAAGTTATAAATACTCATTCCAGGACAAGCAGCATAAGCCAGGATTTTCCTAGACACATAGGGAAATGGCCACCAAAACGAGAAAATGCTAAGAGAAAGAAAGGGTCATATAGTATGTGAACTACCATGACCAGCCATGTCTACGAAAACTGAAGAAGGCAAGAAAAAACCACGAATTCTATTTGATTTTGTTTTTTCTGAAAAAGGAAAAGCCCAGAATTTCTATTGTTAGTTATCAAGGGCATGATTCTCTTGCTACCACGACTCAGCTGCATCCACCGATAATAGAAGAATCTGTTGCCAGCTCTGGACACAGGGGCATTTGAGCAATAAGCCAGGAATAACTTTATATCTGTGTAGATACTGCCCCAACCCAAATGTGTCTACAGACTGTCCTGAGTTTTATGGCCTTGTATCTTGCCACAAGCTTCAGGGAGAACTATAAGCATATGCAGTGAATGAGCCCGACTTGGCCCTGTTCTTGAAGATAAAGATGATCTGACATGTGTCCTCTTGCATTTCTTGGTCTAGATGAATTTCTAGTGACTATCTCAAACCAAGTCAAGGCAGCTGAGAAATTGCAACCCAGGGGAGAACAGCAGAGTCCTCTCCCACAGGCCTCCAGCCCTTGGGTACATGCAGAACCACACAGGGCAGCTGAGGCACAGGAAATCATGAAGGGCATAGATCCAGGGTTTGGCTTGGTTTTGTTCAGGGGTTTGTTGCTGTTGTTGTTGTTGACATTTTGTATCTTTTTGTTCTGTTTTTAGTTTGTTGGGGGGTGACCTGTTTTTGATTTTCTTGTTTGTTTTGTTTTGTGATATCTGGGAAGGGGTTTTAAATTTTGTTGAACAGATCTTATCTGCTGGCTTAGAGGCCTAATGATAATAAGATCATTTATTCTTCCATTGGACATTGTACTTTCCAAATCCTTTTCTCTGAATCAGTAGTGGTGAATATAATCTCACATTCCCTTAGATTTGCTTAGTGCTTTTGTGATTTTCAAAGCATTTCCATAAGCATTATCCCTTTCATTTCCTTGACAAGTATTTATGGGTAGGCTGCTATATGCCAGCCACAGAGTTGGGTGTAGGGTATCTAAGACAAATAAAGTTGGGGGCCTTATAAAGTGGAAAAATCTAATGAAAGTGGCAGCTTTGTAAACAAATGATTATAATCACACAAAGTGCTATCATAGAGGCATGTTCAAAGTACCCTGTTGAAGACAATCAAGAAAAAATGCCAAAAAAGTGATACACATCTACGGGGAGGAAAAGCCCAGAATCTGTCTGGTGTGTCAGCAGCAGAAGACCTTTTCCACCAGGTGGACATGTGTTCTTTACCTTTTGTAGAAATGGGAACCAGGTCTCAAAGAGGAGGTCATCACAGAAAACCTCATGCGAGCCTGGTTCTCTTGTACCTTATCCACAGAAGTCCCATGAAGTGTGTCGTTAGCTTTGACTTATGGGAAAATTGGGGCACAGAAAGGACAAGTAAGTTATTCCACCTTAGGTGTGAGGTCAGGACTGAAAGCCAGAAGTTTGTTTCCCTGACATAGTAGACAATCTCTCAAAGAAATGAGGGGTAAGTCTAGAGGAAGATCCAAGTCACTCCAGCTCTAAAATCCCGTGTTTCAGTATTGTTGGGCACAGATTATCATTTGAATTTCGTGTGTGAATGTCTGTCTGTTACTGGAGGAATTTAAAATCCATGTATTATCCTCTTATAATCATAACTGCTGCTCATGTGTGATCTTATACTCAGGAACATTGAATAATATCAGATTACAAGTCCGTTCTGACCAACCCTCTTTTGGATTTCACTAAGAAAGAAAAGCTGGTGAGAGACAACGCAGAAGGCAGTGATGTAAACTGCTAGATCTATATAGTGTGAAATGAGAGCTGTTAAACAGGCAGTTCATTTGGTCAATTCAACAATCCTGGCTGGACCTAGAGAGTCTTGGCTTATCCAACCGATTTTCCACTAGCCATTGCCTCTCCTGTCCTTCTGGTTTCCATGGAAACTGGCTTCAGAAAAGCCAAAGATGGGCTATTTCAGATGCGCCTACTTGTGTTTTCATAGCACTTCTAGAGGGGCTAGAAGACGAAACTGACTGGAAAGGTGGTGAGAATATGTGGTAAGACAACTGGAATGGGACAGATCCGATGGTATTTGTGTCAGCTCAGTGGTTTTTCTTTGGGATTATTCTAAAAACTCTCTAGCATTCACTACAGTGAAGGTCTCTGATTGGACCGTGTACCTCCCATGTGCATTACAAACATTTTGCAGAGCTGCTAAGTATCTAAGTATCCAGTGTGTGTTACCATCTCATATTTAATTAAATGCTATGGAACTCTCTGTGCCTGTGCTTGTCTTCTGTGAGGAATAGGGGCAGAATGGGCCACAATTCTCCCCAGCCACTGAACACATTCTGGTGTCATTTGCTGTCATTTTATATATGGATCTTCAGGGAAAACTCACTCAGTGATTAAGTAATGAATTAACAAATTAAGGAATTAACAGCAATTTGTTGAGTATCTGCTTTGCGTTCCTTTGTTCTGTGCTAGGCACTGGAGTTACAGAGATGAGATGCACAGTTTCCAGCTCACAGTCACTGGGGGGCAAATACACATAGGAACAGTCACAATGTCATATCACAGCCTTGAAGGCAAAGTATCATCAGTGTTCTCAGTAAACACAGTACCTAAGATCCAGAAGGCACTCAATCATAACATGGAATGAATGAATCAGCATGTTAGTGAATGATATTGTATTAGTCAGTGTGCTTTCTCATCACCATCCAGGATATAATGATGCCAGGCTAGGATGCTCAGAGGCAGGCACTGCATCCCTGAGAGAGTAGCACATCTGGGCAGCCACGTGTAAGGAGTCGGTTGTCTTCCCCATCCACAGTTACCTCCCCAGCTGCACTCTTAACCACTGTAACCACAGATGTGGGGAAACAATAGGGTGGGGGAAAGAATTTTCCAAAGCTTCATTTCTCTGGTGAATATCTGCATTTAATTTTGTTTATTCACTTATTTGGTTTATTTTTGATGCACATTGCAGTCTAATTTAACTTTGCATCTTAATGGCTTGTGGCATTTGTATGGGATTTGTGTATAGCTTGCAATGAGGCAGCTGTTCAGGCAAAGAAAGTATGATACATAAAACTTGGTGGGTCAGAGGAATACATTAACACTCACAAAGCAACTGGTGAAAACAAATGTGAAGCAAACAACACATGAAGCCCCTGAGGTTTGAAAAATAAAATTTTGATGCTGACTTCTGCAGAAACACTTGAGTTGGACCCCTCAACTGTAAATTATGAGGGTCAATTCCTTTCTACTGTGGTAAAGATTTCTCAATGAGAAGAGAACTCACAGAGGCTGAGAAGGACTTTTTCTTTTTTTATGACAAATTAGTTGCTGCAAAGTATGAATTGGACTAGTCATTAAACAAAAAGGATAAATAATCAGAAAATATTTTAATATTAAGCTAGAGACACTGTTATCCATTGGTAACAGTGAAATATTTCCTTTATAGTTTAAGGAATAATTAGTTTTGATAAAAATTCAATAAGTGCTCTTCCATGAGACTGATGGATATACTATCAAGTCCCTTTTTTACACATCAATAAACTTTCATGGATTTAAATGTGAGGGTGCCAATGCAGATTTGAGTGATGCTTAGGATTAATTTTTTTAATAAAAAAAAAAAACTTTAGTAAAATAAGAATAGAATATAAGCCAGGGTCATGCTCAATGGTGAAATATTAAAAGTACTCCACTAAACTTAGAAATAAAACAGAAGAAATTCCACTGTCACCACATTTAACATTCTTGAAATGCTAGAAAATGCAATTAGACAAGGAGAAAAAGTAAGAGGCATAAATATTAAACAGGAGGAAACTAAATGATTATTATTGGCAGATGAAATGATTGCATATCTGGAAAACACAAAGGGATCAAGTAAAAAAATACACTAAAAGACTTCATTAAGGTCTTTGATTATATTTCCGTATGTTGAATTATTTCTTTAAATCTTCATTGAATATTTATTAAAAACTAATACTTGCTTATTCCTCAAAATTCAAGAAACACAGATATATATGACAAAGCAAGTAAAAGACCTCATTCCCCAATCCCACTGCTCAGAAATAATCATATTTAATAAGCAATGTGTAGTTTTCCCCATCATATACATATGTACATATGCTATTGTTCTAAATATCATATGGAAAAATTCAAGAAGAGCCTGCACAAGTCTGGAGAAGAAAAGAATTGAAAAGAAACTAACTATATGAGTGATTTTGACATTTATTCATTTTTTAAAGACAATATAAATTACATTCGACAAAATGACAAAAATTTTCAGTGCAAAAAGCTACAAAGTTACTTGCCTAGAAATTATAGATATCCCTGGTTAGATTTTCCGTTTTTCTTCTTCTTTTCCTTTTTTTAAAATTTTTTGTTTTTTGTTTTTTGACAATCATAGACATAAACATAGAGAACCTATGTGTCCAGATCTAGATACTTATAAAAATTTCATTTACTTCTAATTAGTGGAGAAAAGGTAGATTATTTAATAGAGATTAGAGCAATACACTAGCCATTTATAGATAAAGGGGCAAGTATTAACCAACTTCTAAAATAAATCCAACATAGATCAAAGATATAAATAATTTTTAAAATGAAAACAAATATGCTAGAAAACATGGGCAAATCATTTTATACTCTTTGGATGTGAAAAGCATTTCTAAAAAAGGCACAAAACCCAGAAACCATAAAAGAAAAAGAGTGATACATTTGAGTATGTAAAATTTAAAATATTGGTAATTCCTTTATTGAATAAAAAAAATACATACAAAAAAAGAAAAGATAAAAATAAACTGGAAGAATATAGTAACTACAAGACAGGCAGAGTGCTAATATCCTTAGTATCCAGAGTCTTACAAATCAATAAGCAAAAATGAATAATTTAAGAGGAATATGGACAAAGCACATTAGGAGAGGGTTCACAAAAGTGAAATTTATTCTAAAAATATGAAGTATGCTCACTCTCATTCAGAATAAAAAGTGCAAATGAAATAATAAAAATTTTTTGCCTATTAGATTGTGAAACACTTTCTCCTGTATGGGAACTCTGAAACATAAGGTAAAGCATGTGGATAGGAAAGGGATAAAGAGTTGAGACAGTAATGCACCTCCTTCAGTCAAATATGAGGATAGATATGAGGCCACATTTACAGGGCAATACAGATGTTGTCCCTTTCTGAGGAAGCTCTCCTGTCCCATCCATAAAGCAGCAGGCCACAGATACCTTCTTTCCATTCCTTAATGAAATGGCTTTGTCTATACCTGTACTGGGAATTTTGGGGGAAAGAGAAGTGGTTGAGCAGTGGAAGGATTTCAATATTCATAGATCCCTTAATCTAATAGCAACAAATGTAGACATTTCTCATATGAATTTTTAAGTGGGAGAAAACACACACACACACACACACACACACACACACTCACACTCCTTTCCTAAGCATGAAATTTAATTTTTTCCCTTCAGTATGATTGACCCAGCTAAAGTCATGTGTGCAACCCTGGACCAATGACAGTTACTAGAGAATGCCATGCACTAACTGGGTTGGAAACGGCTCACTCTCTGGACCTGGGGATGAGATAGGTACCTAGACAAAATAGGGATGAGAGGAATGAAATAAAGGATGTTAGAGAAGCAAACAAAAGTGTCTACTACAAAAGATATTTTTTTAAAGATT